GACATCCCTGGGCCGCCACGACGCCGCGTGCCCCATCTCCATGGTGGCTAGGGTTTTAGAGCCCTGGCCGGTCGACCCACCGCCTCCTTCCCATCTCCGACCTCAAGCTCCACCTCCTCCCCATCTCCGACCTTGACTTGCTTCTGCCAGATCTGGTTTGCATCTAAGGTAGGACTGAGTACCTTCTTCTTGTTGTCTCTCTCTCTACGCACCATCCACACATTTGGTCATTTACAAATTTTACTTGACCAAGGTAAGCATGCACAGACCCTTTCTTTCTACTAGCTAACTGGCATGAGCTCTAATGCTATCTCTGAGGATATATAAAGTTCTGTGGTTCAATATAAATTAGTAGATTGTAGCTTGTTACAGTGGTTGCATGTGTTTACTGATTTTTTTAGGAAAGTGTTTACTGAATTTTGATGGACGAAGTTATGTTAGAGCTTTGCATGTTGATATGTTACAACATTTCATTTAAAAGTTCACTCGTTTTACCCAAAACATGGTTGGAAATTAAGTTATTTGAGCGTAGAAAGACCATTTCATGAGAGAAGCCCATTTGTTAGCATCTGTCGTTGAGTACACAGAATGGATTGCCTGCTTTCAAATACTGTCATCTGAGGCTACCTCTTTCGGTAAAATGAGGTGCCGATTTGTAGAATATACAGCTTGGTTGGTTTTATTTTCGCTAACCACTGTGTCTTATGAAATTGAGATAATTCTAGCATGTAACCAAGATTTACAACAATTTGCTCTCCGTGTTAGCTAGTGGAGTACACCGTATTTGCAGACAATGAAACCATTACAAGAGAATGCATAACCGTAGTTTGTGTGCAGTTGCAAGTATATGGAATTGGTTGTCTTAGAATATTAAGAACTGAATTTAAGACCATGCAAGCTAATTTCATATCAAATAGTTCTATTTTTCTCCATGGGATGCTAGTTTTTTTTATTTCAAGCTAGGCCATTTAATTTATTAAAAATCTGTAGGAAAGGAAGGCTGGCTTCTTGTCATTAGAGACGAAAAAGTACTATTGTATCCATACATGCACTCTTACACTTCATTAATTTTTTTATAAATGTACTCTTAATCACTTTATAAATTTACATTGTCTTATTTTTTTGTCCATGGTAGTATATAAGATGCTGCTTGTTTCACATGCGTATCTGCAAACCAGCAACATATGATGACCAATAGAACTGTATGTAAAGTAGCATGCATGCAGTTGTATATACTGATATACTTGTGTCTAAAATTCGCCTTTTATTTATTAAGAGGAAGTAGAGAAACATTACAAGCTACCCCTACAATGGTAAGCGCCGGGCTTACCAAAGAGGACGAGGACCAAAAAACACAAAAGAAAGAAGAAAACACTAAAAGAAGCTTGTTCATCTTAGTTCTATATATTGCTGTTGTTTTAGCCTATTGACTGAACTGCACTAGTCCACCAAATACATATACAGTTGGAAAAGAATCATAATCCAAAAGATTAAATTTGTGATGTGGTATGGCACCAATTCTGTCTTGAATTGACCATGAATATGTAAGATGAGAGTACACAACTGCTGAAATGTCAAAACAGAAGGCTTCCAATGTAGCTCAGCCTGACCATGAGTAGCATCATACAAACATTGACTCACAATACCTTTATATGAGTGGTAAGGCATGTCATCTATTACTTGAATCACCAACTTGAGTAATGCTCAACTCTAATATACATTTATATTATATTAGTTATTCATAAAATTATCTAGAAACATCATACTAATTACTCTAATGTCTTTGTTTGTGTCAATAATGGTTGAAGAAGCAATAATATAAGCAACAATGATTTGTTTAATCAGCTCACAAATATAACAACGTTGTTAGTGATTTTTATTTCTTGAACAATTTGTATTCGGATCTGATCTAATCACAGGTGTATATATATTGTCAGTCATATATGCTGCTCTGCTTTTCAATGTCTTTGAGTAGGACAGAGCTACCTTCATTCGTGTGGCTGGCTCAGTGAGCTGTAAAGTGCTGCAAATTCCATCTTGTCACCTTCACTAAGGTAATTTATGGTTCCACTCGCTTCAAAAAATTTGTACATACTAAATCTAGTTCCAATGGATCTTCAGTACTAAGTTTTTTGTAATTGGTTTATATAGTTCCATCATTTTGTGCTAGATCTGGTGGTGGTTGAAGAATTACATACTTTCAAAGTTCTAAGTGTAACTAGCAGTAGTAACATTTGTGTGCTATATGTGACACAATGATAGGAGATGGGCAGTGTTTTTTAGGCTCACGCTTTAAAGACTGAAAGAAAGCCATTATATAATTAGAGCTTCTAACTCATATCAATGCCTAGCTAAGTTTAGTAGTTTAGATTTTTTCCTCCACCTTTTCTGAGATCGGCAGTGTTTTTTAGGCTCATGCTTTAAAGACAGAAATAAAGCCATTATATAATTAGAGCTTCTAACTCATATCAATGCCTAGCTAAGTTCAGTAGTTCAGATTTTTTTCCTCCACCTTTTCTGAGATCAGAGTATGTGGTTTACTTCCATAATCGAGTAAGAAGTTCATCTTGTACTTGTATTTTTTTTTGCTGGAACCACAAGTGTGATGCTATTTAGAATAATAGATGGGCCTTATAGTGCTTCTTGCTGTGATTAAAGAATCGGTGCAGAGAAAATCAGTGATTAAATAATTTATGCTTCTTGCTATGATTTTTTCCATTGCCTGAATGTCAGTTAGCTCTATCATTCAGCACCAGTCTGCAACTCTACATAATGTGATGCTATTTAGAATAACAGATGGGCCTTGGTGCCAGCACTTAGTATTGGTTGAAAATTAAACTATGTTTAGTAGTATACACAACCCAAAGAAAAATAAATCTATTAAATCTGTGTTTAGTACCCTTTATTCAGAATTTGTGGAACATATGCAGTAAGGAGCAATAATTTTATAATTAGGTGAAGGTTCCTAAGATTTTATGGAATATTCTATGTGTTTGTCTATGTAGTCACGAGTCCAATTTTTTGTTTTCTACCTTAGGAATTTAGGAAGGTTTGCAGTTTGACATCTGAAATTTAGGAAGGTTTGTAATTTGACATCTGGAAGTTAGTTGCCAAGTTACTACCTAGAACAAAGTTGTGCTTACTACCTGATGTATGCCAAGTTGATATTATCTTGCTTATTGTGCTTTATTTGTGGTAGTCATTGAATTTAATACTGTATAATGATAAACAGAGCACTAGGCTGTATTTTTATCTGTTTAATTTCAGATTCGGAATCTACTAGAAGAGAGAAGATATGCAATTGTGACATAATGCTTACAATAACAAAATGGTCTGTAGACTAGATAACTTAATTTTACTTTAAAGAAAACTAAGATCTAACTAAATTCGTTTGTATGTTTTGTATTGTTCCAGCATGCGTAATTCTGTTTTCTATATCATTTTGCATGTAATTTCTAGTATGTTTTGTACTGTTCCAGCATGCGTGATTCTGTTTTCTATATCATTTTGCATGTGATTTCTAGTTAATTCGTTTGTGTTATCCTGGATTCCTGGTTGTTTAGTAATGCTTATTCGTACAGTTTCTGATTTCCATAAATGTTATTTATTGTATTCTATGAACGGTGGCCACCCTTGGCCCACCGGTGAACTCGCCATGAGCGCACGAAGCCGTAGAGCCTTCTAGCAGCCCTGCTTATCCACCCTAGCACGAGAACACGCGAGCTTGCCGTCGACAAGGAGCGCCGCCGCGAGACAAAGAGAAGAGAGAGCTGATGCGCCATTGTCGCCCCGTTCACCCAGTGCACCGTGTGCCAGGGAGAGGGGAGGGAGAAGTGGAACGAATTAGACTTGTGAATTATATCTATTTAATGATGGATTGTATATATTCTTATGAATTGGACTTGTAATTGTAGTTTATATAATACTCTTGTGCTTGTGGTCAGATTTGAATTATATATATGTTCTGGTTAGATTTTAATTACATATGTTCTGGTCGAATTTTAATTATAAATTTAAAAAAAATTGCGGAAAAAATATACTGTAGGGGCGGTTCTAGACTGAACCGCCCCTACAAACAGGTATTATAGGGGCGGTTGGTACTATAGCCATCCCTACAAATCGATTTGTAGGGGCGGCTGGTGTTTGTAGGGACGGTCTAGGAACCGTTCCTATAAATCGACGATTTGTAGCCACGCTTTGGTAAAGACGGCTGACTAAATCGTCCCTATAAATACCCATAAGCCGCCCCTACAAAGCCTACCTGTAGTAGTGTACCCCAGTGCATCCAACAATATGAAACCATCTGCATGTGATTTAGTGGTAGTATAACAAAACACAAGTTCGTACGCAGCGAATCTCTGCGCTTGGTATACATAAAAAAAAACAAATGATGAGGTAGTTGCACTTGCACGACGCGGTGTGGTCCTCTACCATCCATCGCCGCCGGCCGGCCGTCGTGTATTTAAAGACCCTCGAGCTCTGCCTTGCTGCAACGCAAGCAGCTAGCTGACCGACCAATTCGACACGAGCAGCAGCAGCGCGGTAGCTAGCTAGCAGAGCCTAGAGCTCATGGTCGTCGTCATGGCAGCAGCCATGCAAGGGCCAGGAAGAGCAACAACGCGCATCGCCGCCGTCTCCTCCTCCTCCTCCTCCCCGTCCTCCTGGCAAGCCTCGCGGGCGGGAGCCCACCGCCGGATCCCGTGTCCTGCACGCGCGGCACGTCCGACTGCACGGTGACGAGCACGTATGGGTCGTTCCCGGACCGCACCATCTGCCGGGCGGCGAACGCGACGTTCCCGCGGACCGAGCAGGAGCTAGTGGCGGCGGTGGCGTCGGCGGCGGCTGCGCGGCGCAAGGTGAAGGTCGCCACCAGCCACTCGCACAGCTTCCCGAAACTGGCGTGCCCGGGCGGGCGCGACGGCACCATCATCAGCACGGAGCGGCTGAACGCGACGGTGCGCGTGGACGCGGCGCGCAGGCTGCTGACGGTGGAGAGCGGCATGCTGCTGCGCGACCTCGTCAGGGTCGCCGCCGACAACGGGCTCGCGCTGCCCCACTCGCCCTACTGGTATGGCCTCACCGTCGGCGGCATGCTGGCCACCGGCGCCCACGGCAGCTCGCTGTGGGGCAAGGGCAGCGCCGTGCATGAGTACGTGGTCGGGATCAGGATCGTCACGCCTGCCCCGGCATCTCAGGGCTTCGCCGTCGTTAGGGAGCTCGCTGCCGGTGATCCCGACCTCGACGCCGTCAAGGTCTCGCTCGGCGTCCTCGGCGTCATCTCTCAGGTCGGTGGTGTACGGACTGTGAAGATTAACTGCAGCATATATCCATGCATACTGTACCATGCGTTTATTTGCCTTCACGTAAAAGACAAGAAATTTTTACAGAGTAATTACCATGCTTAATTACGGAGTAGTAGTACGTAGAACGAACCTAATGCGTTGACATGAAAGATCAGATGGTTTAAAATTTGTGAGTTGATAGATGGATTTCATGCATGTGTTGATGTGTGCATGCATGCATGTTGCACGCAGGTCACTTTTGAGCTGCAGCCGCAGTTCAAGCGGTCGGTGAACTTCGTGACGCGGGACGACAAGGACATGGCGGAGAAGTTGGCCGTGTGGGGCGACCTCCACGAGTTCGGCGATGTCGCATGGCTGCCGCGGCAGGGCAAGGCGATCTACCGGGAGGACGACCGCGTGGACGTCTCCACCCCCGGCAACGGCCTGAACAACTACATCGGCTTCCGCGCGCAGCCGACGCTGGGCCTGCTGACCGCGAGAAAAGCCGAGGAGCGGCTCGAGGAGAACGGCACCGACATCGCGCGGTGCCTGGCGGCGCGGCTGCCCGCGGCGACGTTCGAGCTGCAGGCGTACGGGTTCACCAACGACGGCGTGTTCTTCACGGGGTACCCGGTGGTGGGGTTCCAGCACCGGATCCAGGCGTCGGGGACGTGCATCAACGGCGGCGACGACGGCCTCCTCTCCGCCTGCACGTGGGACTCCCGCATCCGTGGCCCCTTCTTCTACCAGTCCGGCTTCAGCGTCGCCATGTCCAAGGTCCCCGCCTTCGTCGCCGACGTGCAGCGGCTGCGCGACCTCAACCCGCGCGCCTTCTGCGGGATGGACGCCAAGATGGGCGTGCTGATGCGCTACGTAAAGCGCTCGTCGGCGTACCTCGGCAAGGCGGAGGACTCGCTCGACTTCGACGTCACCTACTACCGGAGCTACGACGAGGGCGTCCCGCGCGCGCACGCCGACGTCTACGACGAGCTCGAGCAGATGGCGCTGAGGAAGTACGGTGCGCTCCCGCACTGGGGCAAGAACCGCAACTTCGCCTTCGACGGCGCCATCGCCAGGTACCCCAACGCGGCGAGGTTCATGGAGGTGAAGGACAGGTACGACCCGGATGGTATCTTCTCCAGCGAGTGGAGCGACCAGGTGCTCGGCATCCGGGGCAGCCCCAACGTCGTCGGGCCGCGGTGCGCCATCGAGGGACTCTGCGTCTGCTCCGACGACGAGCACTGCGCGCCGGAGCAGGGGTACTTCTGCCGCCCGGGAAGGTGTACACGGACGCCAGGGTCTGCGTGTTTGAACGACGCACACGACTCGTCGACGAGCTGTGACGAATGATAGATAGATCCATCTTTTAGCTAGCTAAGCTAGCTACCACATTGCTTGCCTTTGTCTTGTCTTGTTGTTGTGTTTGAATTGAATTGGTGTAGATCTCACAGAGCAAGCATCATTTCGATAGGTGCAGTGCAGGGCGGGACACGGCATGTGTGTTTACAAATAATGTTGTTTGTTGAAATATCAGATCAGTTTGGAATTATATATATATTTTGATTGGAAACATTTGATCGAACGGCATCTCTTGTCAAACTAAAGGTAGAATCTTGGCTGCTTTTTGTCGTTGTTAACTTGTTATGTTACTCTGAAGCTTCTTTGCAGTGGTTAGACTTATAGGGCACGAGAGTGCTAGTCCACTGGGGCTACATTTCTAAAGAGTGGTTAGTTGCTTCAAGTTTATCCTTTTTGTTCTTGTTCATATTTTTTTTACTTTATTACAGACAGCAAGTGAGACAACATGAGAGTACCTAATTGGTAACTTCTTGTGTGCGTTTGGTGTTGAATTGACTTTCTTTTTTTCCGGAAAAATGCAATTGAATTGACTTGATTGAATGATCGTGATATATAAGATTATGACAAATCTTCGGGCATGTTTGATATAACTGTTAATTGTTAGCTAGTTAAAAATTAGTCCTAATTCTAGCCCAACCGAATAGGAGAGTTAATATAGGTGGGCTAATTTTTTAGCTAAGTCTTTAACTAATAGTTGTTAGTCAACTAGCTAGATAAATTATAGCTAATTTAGGTTAATTTTTATCCCCGGCTAGTACGAAGCTATGTGTATCCAAAGAGACCCTTAATTTGGAGTTGTTGCATGCCCCTATCTCAGTTGAAAACACTAACACCTTGGCCTCTGTAATTGATTACATTTATGTTGTTAGTTTTAATTTGCAATGCCAGGTAAGGTAGCAAGATGCATGACACATAACAACTTGTCCTTGGGAAGGCTTTATCTATGCTCAAACTATAACGCATATGCCAATATGCCATATAATAAGTGTGGCAATGGACGAAGTTAGCAAAGGAAGATCACCCCAAGCCCCATGTGTGAATCGTAAAAGTGACTCGTCCGGTGTGATGTTGACATCCAAAATTGATTAATTTGGGAGCAGTTGGAAACATGTGCATGCATGATGTATGCAATAAGAATAAGCCTTTGTGTTCTTTTTCCCCAAAGTTTGTGGGTATTTCTTCTTAGCCCTTGTTTAGTTTTCACCCTAAAATTTTACATCCAGTCACATCGAATGTTTGGACACATGCATGAAGTATTAAATATAGACTAAAAATAATTGATTGTATAGTTTACGACTAATTTACGAGATGAATCTTTTAAGCCTAATTAATCTATAATTTGACAATGAAGTGCTACGGTACACACATGTGCTAATGATGAATTAATTAGACTTAATAAATTCGTCTCACAATTTAATGACAAATTTTATAATTTATTTTTTTATTAGTATCCAAACACCTCATATAACATTAATATGACATCCTAAAATTTTACACACCTGGTCTAAACAAGCCTGCAAGTCTCGGCGGCAGGGACGGGCGGGGGTGTCGGCGGAGCGGCGCTGGGAAGAAGGGCCGGCTCTGACGAGAGGAACTGGAGATTGAGGAAGATATTTTGACTTGAACCATTGAGTCGGTGACACGTGGGTTATGTACAGTAACTGTTCGGTGGGAGACAGCTGAACCGTTAAAGTGGAATCAGGCTGTTAAAAACTTTTTTACTACCGTGGCCATGCAGAGGTGCCGCCGAGCCTTGCAGCCTTAATAAGAAGAAGCTTGAACCCGGTGACACGTGGGTTATGTACAGTAACTGTTCGGTGGGAGAAAGCTGAACCGTTAAAGTGGAATCAAGCGGTTACAAACTTTTTTACTACCGTGGCCATGCCGAGGTACCGCCTAGGCCCGGGCGTTCGGATAATTCGGGTAATTCAAAATAAAGTGATAAGTTCACCTCTTCAAACAAAGAGAATTATATTCTAATAAAGTGATAAGTTCAAGTGTTCAACTAACAGCATAAAGACACAGACAAACGTTTGGATAGTTCGGGTAGTTTGGGTACCGGGGGATATTACCCAAACTAATTTTGGGTAATCAAAATCGATATCCGAATTTAGGATCGGGTACCTCGGGTTCAGATAATTCGGGTCCAGATTCGGATAATTTGGGTATGAGTAATGGTAATCGGGTATTTTGCCCAGGCTTAGGCCCGAGCAGTGCAGCCTGTCCTCCCCGCACAACTCCCTCGCAGGTGACGGCCGATTTCTTGTCTGATTTTGTGCTTAATTTTATGATTGTGTATTTCGTTTTTGTTGAGGTATCTTGATTTGTTTACTGCAGGAGCTTAATTTGGTGTGTCCTAAACTGCAGCTCAAAGCTCTGGAACATGAGCTTCCATGTGCACCAGCAGTATTTACAGTGAACGATTCAAAGCTTCAGGTCAGCAAGAGCGTTCATTAGTCCACAATTTTCTATTATTCATGTCCCATATTATTTTAACTCATGGATGCCCAATTGCTTGCTATAAGCAAATCTCTATGTTGCTGTTACCATGATGCCCTTTCAGGAGTGCAATTTGTACTGTTATGGTACCCTTTCAACATTCTGCTTTTCTCTATTTTTCCTTTTTGTCTCTGTTTTCTTATCTATGTACACACTGCAGTCCTTAGAAATTGTTTTCTTATCTATCTACTAACTCTTCTTTATGCTAATTTTACGCCTTGATCCATGTCATACGCAAATGGAAGCTTATTGATTTGTTTTGTCCTGCCCTAAGTGGGGTTTCAGATATTAGATTACATAGCATGATGATATTACCACTTCTACTCAGTTTTTTCGGGCTTGCTGCAATCAGGTACATACAGATTGAAATATACCAAATCATGGAGGGCTGATGGGAGGAGATCAGGCTGCCTCAGCTGCAAAATGGTGATGTCCTACTCAATCCAGTCACATGGAATACTTAATTTATTTTGATAGTCATGCATATTTGGTCTTATTGGTTTGGATCTTGGAATTTGATATTGCTTTGCAGGTAAAAATAGTGAAGTGTGCCTAATTCTCCTTTTCCATCCTATACACCATGGAGAAGCCTCGCTACAAGTTGGGAACAACATTGTGCCTTCTAGAATCCGAGAGTAAATTGAATGCCAATAGGTTTCTACCTCAAAGGTAACATGTCTTTCTGAATCACGGAGCATTTGGAATGCCATCACAGAGTAAATGTTCCAGAGAGGCAGAGCACCTGCCAGCTATGCTACAAAAGTTCCCAACAAACTATAAACAGTTGAATAGATTTCCTCAATTAAATGGCCTCAAATAATTTTTGCTACAATGTGTTGTTGGCTGCATATGGAGGATGGAGATAATTAAATTTTCCTTTAATATATTGTTTTCCCCTTGTGTTATGCATCATGTTTTGCACAGCTAAAATGAGATGCTTATCATTTACATGTTCTGCGCACCTAAAAGGAGTTGCTTATCATTTAGCATTTCATCCTCATAGTCAAATTTGAATAGATCTGTGCTTGGTGCAGGCACTCGGACTATGCTTGTTCTCAGGATGCTAGATATGTCACTTCTTTGGTCCAAGTCCCTGAGCAGTTTCATCATGTGTTCTAGACATAGGTACTTCAATGTTTAACCATACACGTTTATCCCTAATTGCTAAAATAGTCACAACTAATGCTTCCATATCACCTTTGAATTTGCTAAGTGTTCACAAAATATTGTTTTATACATGCAGGCTTGCCATCTACAATTTCTTCCTGCTCACCAGGTCATCTAAATCTTATATAAAATGAAGCAAATGGCCATGGGTGTCATTCTTATTGATGAAAGAGAGCACTAGAGTGTTTGCAAAGAAAGAGTACCGAAGGAAGTGAAAATACGAGATTGATGGTAAAACTCCCATTCCTATTATCATCCACTATTATAGGAAATTTGGTTTCCTTTTTTGGGGTTGAATTTAGTGTTCTAGCAGCAGGAAAACATCGGATTATATTCGTGGTTGACCCAATTGAAAATCATGTCAGTTTCTGTTGCAATAATTTCGTGGCACCTCTAAGCTTGCACTACAATTGTGTCGCTGCCAATAGGTATTTTTGTTCTGGTATAGAACAGAGTTTTGTGTTATACTTTTTGCAGTCCACTTATATATAGATATACTTATGTCATATACTCGCAGTTAGTATTGACATGAAGCATAGTTAATGATTGAGCGCTACCTACAGGATAGTTGTTCCCAGATAGGTACATATGCCATGGCTCGGCTTGCAAGATGTTTGACAGAATGCTCAGGTGCGGACTCAATGCACCAAATGTTAGTGAGGGAATGGTGGTTCCATGGTTATCTACTACTTCTGTCTTGGCCATTATGCTCTAACCGTGTCACTGGCAGCCAAGGTCCTGTCCCAGGTTAGATTTCTTCATCTACCTTCATTGGTTGGAATGGTTTGTGTATGCCACGCCATGTATTTGTAAATTAGCTTTGCACATATATCCAGTTTCTTAGGTCTTAACCACTGACCATGTCATTGTTTCCCATCGATTAGGTTATTTTGTGTGATATGACTGCAATTGATATTCAGTCCTTACTGCCGATGCAATGGGATCACCTAAACCTTGGTATCATGTTGTCTGAAGCCAAATCAAACCAGATAAACAGTGTGCTGCATTATTGGAGGAGGACAGGTGCTACCTCCTTTGTGACCTGGAAATTAGTCCATGAAGTTGCAGGTTAACAAATGGTTGCAGATTGGAACTAAAGATAAAAAGGGGTACTCCAATTTGTAAGGCTCATATTATGGCAAAAAAGGCCTTTTCATGGTTCAATGAAAAAATCTGCCTAAATACTTACCTTCATGCTTTCAGTTGCGAGTATGTATGCTGCCATGTTTTCTTTTGCTGCCTTCAGCATTTTAGTTTTCTTTTTCTTCACTGATGTAGGTTCAAATTCATTGAGGAGCACCAAATACGGATACACCTTGCATACA